CCTATTAACCTGCCTTTACCCCGACCCACAGGTTTTACTTTTTTTTTCCCCCAATTCTCTCCCCCCATCCCACCAGGGCTGGGGGGAGGGTGAGCAAGTGGCTGTGTGGTGCTTGGTTGCCAACTGGGGTTAAACCACGACAACCATGAACCCCAGGGGATTGGGAAAAAGGGGTGGGGATAAAAGCTGTTGCAAAGGCTGTTTTGAAGCAAACCTTTGCTTCTGCATAATGAACTCACCCCTCCGCCCCCCAAATGCAGCTGAGTCTGGGGATGAAGAGGGGGCTGGAGGCCGGGGGTTGGCTGGGGGGAGTCCCTTACTCCTGCTCTCCTTACTCCTGATTTCCATGGAGCGCTCGCGGATGCGGCCGTGGGTGACGGGCAGGGTCAGGCAGGCGAGCAGCAGGCACAGAAGGCAGGCGGCCCCCAGCTTCATCCCCGGCACCTCTCTGGCCACAGCGGCTCTGCCCCAAATCCCTCCGGTCTCTGGTGCTTCCTGCTGGTGCCACAGAGATGTCGGCCTCTGATGTGGCTGCGGGAGTGAAGGGGTTTGGCTGTTGCAGAGACACCCTGCTTGGGTTAAAATGTTCACAGGGTGAGCCCCCCATCAGGAGGAGAAGGGTGCGACAGAGGGGATGCGGTGACCGTATCGCTGCTGCCATGGGACTGCCGTCCCCATCACAGCATCCCCAGGCTGGCTGCAATGCAAAAGGCACAGGGCAGCTTGATCTCCCCTGCAAACATGAATTGTACAAACCTCATGTTAAATAAAATAGGTTTTCATCCTAGCCTAGCGCCTTAGGCTAGGCCTGGCATTACCCTTTCTGGCTGGGACCCCCAGTGTGCCCACGGTGGCAGGACCCTGCAGCCCAGGAGATGGGGAGAGGGGCCAATGCCAAAATGTGGGACTGGAGGCACAAATGGGTTTTGATGCTGGATGCCGAGTTGTGGATGGATCACAGCCACCTCTGTGCCCTCAGCAACCCACCCCTGGAGCCAGCTGCTGAAATGATAACCTGGGAGCACCCCGTAACATGCTTTATGGTGCCAAAGCAATGAGCAGGACCTGAGGGTGGGCTGAGTGATGGGCTTGATTTCTGAAGCCACCTGCAATGAGGGAGTGGGGTGAGGGGCAGAAGCAGGAAAGCTGGGTTAAGCAGGACACAGCGGGGTTGCGGTGGCAGCTTTATGTCCAGGGACTTTTGCAAAGAAGTTTGCAGCATGCCAGGCAGAAGCCAGTCTGGGCTCCTGAGAGCTCAGGTTTGCTGTGGCCACTGACTTTTTACAACCCCTTTTTGAAAACTTCTCAGCCAGCTGGACAGACACAAAGACATGCACACGCAGGCAAAGCAGCACTCAGGAAATTATCCAGCAACAAAAGCATCATGAAAGGGAGAGAAAAGCGGCGCTCCCCGCCACCAGGGCTGCACTTACCGCGGCACAGTGAGGCGAGGTGCCTGGCTGCCGTCCTGCTGAGCTGAGCGGCCAACGTCTGAGCAGGAGTCCCCTCCAGTTGCCGTTTTTATGGCCAGTTTTGTGCTGATGTCAGAGGCGAGCCCCCGCGGGGACTGAGCTGGGGCATCTCCCCTCCCCGCCGTCCCCTCTCATCAAATCAGCACAGGGATTTTCATGACTCAGAAAGGACCTGCATTTTAACTTCCGCTGGCCGAGGCAGCTGGCTTGGGAATATGTTAATCCCTGTCCTCAAGCCGGTGAAGTTTTCTTTTCCATCACCATGTTCACAGGGAGCCCCTTGCCCAAAACCCACTTTGGAGGGTCAGTGGGTGATGCCACCCTGAATGCTGTGCCCATGTATTGGGGTCCTGCCGTCACAAACCGGCTCCACCACCGGGTGCCACCACCCTTCATCTTCAACCCTCCCCCCAAAGCTGCGTTAAGGAAATCAGAAAATTAAAAGCGGAGAAGAGGGGAAGGCGACTGGCTGGGGCACATGGACTGGCAGAAGCGGGGTCATCCCTGCAGCATGGGGGCATCAAACATCCCGCTTTTAAAATGGGTTAAACCACCCCCAGGTGGAGACTTCTGATGTTTGTTCTGCCAGATGTGATACTAGAGGAGCCAGCTCGGTCCCCAGCATGGAGGGCTTGTCAGGGTCTGAACACACATCCACCTCCAGGCAAAACTGGAATTACTGGGACTTTGAGGGACGTCCCGAAACAGGGACATCTCTATGTTAGCAGGGTGATGAAGATACCATCACGTGTGGGCAGGGGAAAGGGGTCTGTCTGCCACCCCCATGCAGGGCTGGCATTGCCCTGGGACACATCTCCATCTCATGTCGCGGTCAGCTCCGATGCCCAAGCACAGTCATGGGAGCAGCACGGGACAGAGGGTGATGGCTGCAGAGGGGCATCAAAGGCAGGGAAAGGGATGAAGAGAGGAGAAAAAAGAAAAACCCATCAGCGAAAGAAACCTAGACCCTGTGCTCAGCAGGGCACTCTCCACCCTGTTGCTATTATTTAATGCAGATTTAAAGCATCCCCTTGACATTGTGGGCTTGTG